TGATCATACAGACAATTGGTCTTAAAGGTGCACCCTGATTATGTATCTTCAGTAAACCATACAGACTTGGTGTAGACTCCCCTGGGTACAGCCTGTGGTATGAGGTCCGGTCAATAGCCTTGTCTTGTTCTAACCACTTCAGACAGTCTATCACCCACTTCCCGTAACCACTTCCTGGGTCTCGTTTCAGGGGCTCATAAGTATTTCTGTCACTGAGCAGTGACAAAATCTTCTCATGATAGTTTTTCTGGTTTAGCAATACTGTGCACCTACCCTTGTCTGCCGGAAGGATGATAATGTTGTTGTCATCACTAAGTGATGTGAGTGCCTTCCTGTCCTCCATGGTGATGTTGGATGCTGGGGGCTTTGCATTGCTGGAGACAGGCCGAAACTTTCGTCCGTAGTTGCTCTGCTTCCATGTCTGCAATATTGTTGTTTTGAATTGCTGTTTCTGTGGCTGTGATCAGCTCCACTAGCGGGATTTGTCTTGGCGTGACAGCAAAATTCAACCCTTTAGCAAGGATGTTTTTCTCTGTTTGGGTGAGCTGTCTGTCAGACAAATTCTTGTCCACTTGTCCACATCCTCAGTGTCACATCCTTCTCTTTTCTGGCCACTGAGGACACTCTCCGTATTTTGCTGTGGTTTCCGACACACAACAAGTAGGTCAAACTTCCTTTGTTGCCTGGTCTTAGACTTTTTGTGCTGTGCTAGATGATCCTTCTCAGTGATGTCAAACACCTTTTTAAGAGTACTCTCATCTAATCGTAAGTCTCTGTCGGATCAGCTCCTCTTGAGATTTTAGCACGTTGATGGTAAAATTTGTTTGCCTCACCCATCCATTAAGCCGCTGGTGCTGTGACCTTCTGGAGGATTTTGTTGCCTGGAAGCCTTTAACTAAAGAGCTCATTTGCAGACTACAAGAAGGTGAGGAAAGGAAATATTTGTGTTCAATTCAAGTCCCAAACATGAAGGATTTTCTCTAGATGATATACTCCTGAGTGGACCTGACTTGAACAACACTCTCACTGGAGTTCTGATCTGCTTCTGTGGGGAACCAATAGCAGTTACAGCAGATAAGCAGCAGATGTTCTACTGCCTCAAAGTGTGCAACAAGCATCTAAACTTTCTGAAGTTCTTATGGTATGAAAACAATGATCTGCAAAAACAGTGAAAGAGTTTCAAATGACAGTACATGCATTTGGCAACAGTCCTTTACCAGCAGTTGCCATTTACTGCCTCAGACCAGCTGCTCAGGAAGCAGATGACTCCACTACCAGTGCAAGGAAGTTCATCACATGCAATTTTTATGTGGACGATGGACTTGCATCTTTTCCTAATGAAGCGAAGGCCATTGGTGTCCTGCGCACTTCCCAAGCAATGCTAGCTAAATCAAACATTAAGCTACATGAGATTGCACTGAACAGCAACAGTGTTATGCAAGCATTCCCACCCAAAGACTTGTAGGACTGAAAGGATTTGAAAGATCTATATTTAGGAATGGAATCACTACCTCTTCAGAGGAATCTAGGTCTAATTTGGAATTTGGAGACAGACAACTTCAACTTCTATGTTTCAAAGGAGGAGAAGCCTTTGACAAAAGAGGCATTTTGTCTCCAGTGAACCCTTCTATGGTTAAAGTGATCTGTGATAATCTAATATGCAATGTGTTATTAAGATAAACAGCAAATCTAATTTTAAATGAACTACTCCTCTTAAACAAATGGTCACTAAGCTAGAAATTTTTATTGTCTACAACAGTGGTTCCCGAAGTGGGGATTTTTCTTGTAAAACAAAGAGGGCCCTAGCAAACACACTTTGGGAACCACTTGTCTACAACAGCCTCGCAAACACAGGTGAATTTGTTGGTTTGCCATTCTCGCCAGGTGGTGACCTTGATGTCAAGACACATCAGTCCTTTCAAACTGTTTTCAGTCAAGCATTTTTTAAAACAGAAATTATCAAGTGACTGAGGAGATTATGAACTGACCTTGGTGTTCTTTTGGCTCCGTGCAGCATCTTTGCGCTCTTGGGGTTTGCCATGGGTAAAGAGGATGAGTCCATTGGGCTCAGTCGTACGGAAATCAAAAGAGATGGATCCCATCCGCTTGGTGTTCCACTTAGGGAGACTGATATAGGCCTCAGGGGTTTCAAAAGAAATTGGGTCAAGGGTGGCCACATTTTCACACTTGTAGGATACCTCACCCTGGATTTTCATCTTGGGGTCCACAATTCGAGCCAGACGGGACAACTCAAGACGGATGTCATTATTCTTATACACTACCTGCAATAAGGCAAGAGCAGGATTAATGACTCTTTTATTTAGGATAACAGGAGATACACATTTAATGACTTCCAACAATTACTAAATTAATAAAATTAATGCAGTAAAATAAAGACTGTAAAATAAGAAAATCATCAGTGTTGTGTCAGGAAGGACATTATTGGCTTTACATATCTCAGTAAAGCTTAGTGTGATAAATTGCAGAATACAGAGTTACTATATACCATACACACATATTCCTATTTGACATGTTGTTATTTAAAAACAAAGTATAAAGGAAAATGTTATTGAGTTCACATAAAATACAGGAACCAAAAATACTGATCATTCAGTTTGTCAGATATTTCGTTTCACAGACTGAGATCATCTCCATGTTCCCAGTGCGTTTCATACTTTACACTCTCAAGTCTCAGAGACAAGGTCAACTGTTCCATTTAACGGATTTCCTTAACGATTTTTATCCACTCATAGTTTGCTGGCAATTCTTTATTCAACAAGTTGTATTTTTCTTTTAATTTCAATTAACAAATTCTCAAAATAAACAACACTAAAATCTAAATCTGTGGAATGATTATTTATCTCTGTTACCACATCCAACCAGTAAGGATACACCACAGATTCAGGTATTTTACACTAGAACTGCAAAGTTATTAAAAAAATCTGAAAGTGTTTTCTTTCAGAATCCTCTCAAAAACAGAGCTATGGTGATGAACTGTGTTTTGCACATATTTAACCTTCTTTTTCCCACCTTCATTTAAAATACATTTTGGAGAGACCTCTGTTTGATTGGCAGGCTAGAGAAATCCTAGATGGATAGATAAATACTTGGATTAGAGGAAATCTAATCCAAGATTCATCCAGTTGAAAATTCATCCAGCTCAACTGGATGAATTTTCCATCCAGTTGAGTGTCATGACATCTGTGTTGAATGCCCCCCACTTTGTACCACATTCTTTCTTTCTTGTTGAATGCATCATCGTTCTGGGACCATTCCAGCTTGGAGATATTTTGTAAGAGTACACCACCTCAGTGCCTTGCCCATGTATAGAGACAGACTGATGGGATTTTTATTTATTTCTTTATTAACCTTTATTTAACCAGGAAGATCCCATTGAGATTAAAAACCTCTTTTTCAAGGGAGACCTGGCCAAGATAGGCAGCAGCAGGTGTCTCACAGTTACAGAAATTACTCAAACACAGGCAGCAACAACACACATGCAACAATAAGTGAAAGAATACAAATAAAATAAAATAAAATTCAAAATTCAAAAGTTCAGTTCGGGCAAATGGAACAGAAAGCAACAAGTAACCATGCGGACGAAGAGAATACCGACCAGCACGTTGCATTACAAACAGGCAGCAACCCAAGTATCGCCTTATATATAAAACTGTATAAATGAGAGTTCCTCCAACTCAGGCCATCCTACCTGAGAGTACAACTCACAGTGGTGAGTCTGAAATTTACGGTTAGTGATGAACCTCAGAGAAGCATGATACACAGAATCAACCATTCGAAGACATTGAGCAGAAGCGTTCATATAAAGAATATCACCATTATCCAGCACAGGCAAGAATGTTGCAGCAACAAGCCGCTTCTTTGTATTAAAAGAGAAACACAACTTATTTTGAAAATAAAATCTCAGTGTTAACTTCAGGTTTTTCACAAGATTCTCTACATGTGGTTTGAAGGTGAGCGAGTCATCAATTAAGATTCCCAGATATTTATAGGTGTGAACCAACTCTATTTTATTACCTTCAAGAGTGGTTACTGATGGGATTGTTTGGGCTCGTCTCCTTGATTTAGAAAACAACATGAGCTTTGTTTTGTCTGCGTTGAGAACAAGTTTAAGCTGAAGTAATGAGTGCTGGACAGCAGAAAAGGCTTTCTGCAAGGAGTCAATGGCTTGGACAAGAGTTGAACCACAGCTGTAAATAACTGTATCATGAGCATAGAAGTGGGATGGCCTAGATCTTCTGAAATCCCCTTTATTTTAGCAGTGTTGAGGTGGAGAACTATATTTGCATGTACAGGATTTTGAGCTGTACACTGCACACTGCACATGGACGTTGCCTTATCATAGATTCAAGCCGAAGACCCATTGAATGGTTTCAGCTGGATGGGCTGCACAATCCTTCAGGAGTCTTGTCACTCACCATCTGGGCCTGCTCCTTTCCCTGGACGCAGTCTCTGAGCTGTGCCCTTGCTTTGTTAGCTGAGAATGACGGGGGCAGATGGTCAGATGTAGTGGATGTTGCAGTTGCAGTGGTGTTGGGGTTGTTGTGTGCAGGAGACAGAAGATAGTGGTGCTGGAGCAGCCTCTCAAGAGGTGGAGGCATAGAGGTGTCATTGAAACAGGAGCATCAGTTGAAGTAGTCCGAGGGAGGACAGATATTAAAGCACAGCAGGCATTCCTGCGTGGCATCCCATCAAACCAGCTATAAAACAGGTTGAATTGACTGGATTTGCACTCATTGATGGCTGCTCTTCTGTGAGTGACCCTTGATGCTCCCGATTTACTCTCTGCTTCTCTTTTATACTCCACCTTTGGCCGCATCTATCGCCCTTTCAGTTGGTGTTGAAAATACCTTCTTTATCGCTGACTTGAATGTCTGCGTTTCTGGTGAAGGATTTCTTTAATGTCCAGGGCTTATTCTTGGGAAAACAGCAAACAGTCCTTACTAGAATCACAGTGTCCCTACAGAAGCTGATGTAGGTTGTGAAGGTGTCACAACCAGCACAGTCCAGTCTGTGCACTCAAAATAAACCCTGAAAGACTTGTTGGCCTCTGGTGATGATGTGTGAAAATTCCCTTGGTGCATAGTGCAGTCTAAGAACAACAGCAGTTCAATCTCCTGACTGCAGATCACATCGTTCACTTTAACATGTCTGACGTGACACAATCGATCATTTACAAGCACAAATCCAACCTTTGCTTTTGCTACTCATCTTCCAATCTCTATTTGTTTGCATAACAGTGCAAATAGAGCAAAAAATCAACAAAAAGGTAAAAACACAAATGCTAACAGAGATTTTAACCTTTGAAATGCATCAGAAAATAGACTGAGAGTTTGCTGCACTTAATTGAAAATGTCCTGAAATAGAAAAATGCACAAAATCATCACATTTTAAACGATGGAACTCATGAATGTTTGATATATGTGATGGAAGGATATATATGATTTTCCTCTGCTGATAGACTAAATCAGTGAATGAAGTTTGTATTAACAAGTTTAACAGCAGTACAGGATATTTAGTATCTGTTGAGTTTGTTGTCAAAGTACTGAAATTCTTGTTGTTTAAACATGTAATGGTACTATTTCTCTGTGCATTTTGTTTAAAAAACAAAAAAGAAGTGATGTGTTGGACCCACATCATTTAATGATATATGGTCCACAGCTGCAGTTCACTTTATCAGTCCCACAGACAGAAAATAACACAACCCACCAGATATACAGTGTACATCTTTCTCCATAAGGCGTGTGTGCGACATACACTGTTTCTTCCATGGGCCAGTCTAAATGCTGTCAATAACAATGGGAGGACGGCGTCACGGAGGGGTGTGTGTGAGTAAATTGAAATCTGCTCAAGTGGAAAATTGAAGGCCTTTTTTCTCCTTCTAATTCTCTGGGCAGAAAAAAACACCCTCTGTCTGTCTATATTTTGGCCACATACATACACTAAACAAACACACCCTCTCCTCCATTTCATTCTCCTATATTAATGCTTCTGCTCTTGCTGGTTATTCGGCTTCTGTTGGATTGTAGAAATGGAGTTGGAGTGGGTGGATTGGGGGGACAGGCTGAGATTATCATTAATCCATAAACAGACATTAGAGTATATCAAGTTGTCCCTTAAGGTGCAGAGGGACTAGATAGAAAACAGTCTGTCTCTCTTTTCATTTGTTGCCTTTCCTCCTCTTTTTGTTATATCTATCCTCCCCTTACTCACCCGAGCTACCTCATCCCCCCATCTCTCAGCAAGAAGCAGCCATTTCTTCTCCCACTCAGACTGAGCATAAATACCTAGAGCCGCTGAACAGGTCGATCATTCACTCCAAAATAAAAGCTTCAATAAAAATAGTAGTCCCTTCAAGCTCACTGACAACATGAAAGAAAAGGCCAAGTGAAAATTTGTCCCCTGAGACTAAGAAAACTTGCAGCATTTTCACATAAATACGAACAAAACCTGCATTGCTGCGTCAGTGCCTTACTGTTGTGATGGTGTTTCATCTTTACTCTTTTTATTATTACGAAAAAAGCTTTGAAGCACTTTAGTATTGTAGCCCACTAACAGAAAAGAGACTGTTTGTTTTTTTTAAATCAATACAAAGCATTTAAATTGTGTTACATTGTTTATGAAACCTGAAAATGTATCAAAACTGTGCATCATTTTCTAATGAAAAGAAAGACAGCAAAGTTACTGTTATTTATAGGACTGTTTTTCCATCCACCAGATTACTTGTCTAAGGTTAAATTCATAGTTAGGCCTTCTTCCCTTGACATTACATTTTCGTTCATCTTGAATACCTAAATAGACACCTTTAAACAAAATAAATACAAATATTCTCACAAATATTTTGCAGCCCATCCAGGACATCTATGCTCCAGTTTTGGTGAGTGAAACTGATTGCATTTCACAAACTAATTACTTAGCTCTAGTTAGCAGGTATAATATGGTCGCAGCTGATGGCCCCGCCCCTCCCTGAGCCTGGTTCTGTCGGAGGTTTCTTCCTGTTAAAAGGGAGTTTTTCCTTCCCACTGTCGCCAAAGTGCTTGCTCATAGGGGGTCATATGATTGTTGGGTTTTTCTCTGTATCTATTATTGTAGGATCTACTGTACAATATAAAGCGCCTTGAGGTGACTGTTGTTGTGATTTGGTGCTGTATAAATAAAATTGAATTGAATTGAATTAATATATACGTCTGTATTCATGATCACTGAGTTTAAAGATGAAAAAACCTTTAAAAAAGTGTTTGTTCAGTATTGGTAAGAAAAGCAG